TATAAAGATAACGATAAATATATAGTTCTAAAAATCGTTCTCAATATTAAACAATAGCATAGTTCACACCAAAACTGTAACGATAAAGACAAAGAGACACGATATCGTTGGAATCACTTTCAAAACGATTTTTCTCCAGCTGATGAACGAGAAAAAATTGACTGCCAATCAGAATCCATCCTGCTGTCACGAGCTCAAGAATTTAAAGCGGCAGACGCACGTGCGCCTAGAATAAACAGACGATATCGTTCGCTGGTGTGGACGCTAATATCGTTATCTTTATAGTTCTCGTTCTTGGTGTGAACGGGGCTTAACGCGCTGCGGTCACGACTGCAAAGATTGCGCAACATCATATTTTGTGTGAAAAGCAGACAGAAACGAAGAAGATAAAATAAAAACCTGATGTGGCATTTAGAGGGCTTACAATGTGAATAAACCGCATTTATGGTGATGTGGGGTAAGAGAATGATGCTTTCATGAAGTAACACGTTAAAGGCACAATATGTAATTTTCGCCGCTAGAGGGCGTGTATTGAAAATAAACAAATAGACAAAGGTGTAGTTTGATGACGCAGTGACTGAGTGTGGAATCATGGGAGTTGTCGTCTTCATCCCCACAGCCGATGCAATCCGACGGGACTCGGGCAGAAATCATGTTCATGGATGAGCTAATGATTTGTTAACGTAGTAGAATGAAGCAGGGTGAGGCTGAAAGCCGTAGACGCGAAAAAAGGCTGCTGACTGAGCGTGACGCACGGCTCGAAAGCAGCGGAGCTTTTATTATGCCACAGTCGACCGCTTCCGCTCCTTCCGGTCGTGCATATGTGGTGGTGAAAAGCAGCGCTGTTTTATCATACTAGATACATTTGAAAGTTCTGTTATAATGCTACTCTGTGCGGTCGTCACCGGTCTATTAAAACGCACAACATATTAAAGTGTCTTTGGTGTTTCCATGTTTTCTACAAAACAAAACCAGAAATCGAGGGGTTATGACGTCATTGGCAGACACCACAATGACACTATAGACACGGTCCGTGTCACTAGTTAAAATTGCTTATTTCTCTGAATTTAAACATTCTTTCGAAACATTTGGTATAATGCAAGTAAGTACACAAGTCAGCAAAATATATAACACCTGTTCTAGTGGTTTTTAGATATTTTAATTAAAAAAAATCTTACATATTGTGCCTTTAAAATCTCATTTCAGAGATATTGAGTATAATGATACCATGACATGATAAAACTAAACTGATACTAAACTGTTCTTAATAGTGTATTAAAAAGCACATGCATTTGCAATTCATACGAAACAAGTGCATAAACATTCTGAATCCATAAACACATCAAGTTCTTAAACTGAAAAGGTGGTGAAAAACAAAAGACTGTTTTAGATATAAAATATTTATTTTACAGCATGATTTGTCCTGGCAAAAAGAGCATTTTCCTCATTTTTAAGTTTGCCCATGTAAACAGGTGATCTCTCAATTAATTTATATTGAACAAATGATTCTGTTCCAAACAACTTACACTAAAAGACCTAATATTACAATCCATTATAACAATTACAATATGTAAGATATTCAAGAGTATTCTTTTAAGAGTTGCATTCTAATAGTCCTGCAAAACTTATAAAGCGTTACAGTCGCAAATTCATGTGATAATCCAATGCGAGATTGGCAGTAAATGCTACAAGTTACCACTAGAAGCAACTACTCATAGATACAATTTAAAAATGGAACATTTGAAAGTTTGTAATAGTTGCAGAAATAATACTCCAGCTTCAGTGCCACCATATACATGTCCCTTTATCACAAAGAGCAAGTTATAAGACATTGTTTTTAAAACTTACAAATATCATAGAAACATATAGCAGAAATACAAAGACACCATCTGTGTGGAAAACGATGGCAGAACAGTATACAAACATTTGCAAAACAGCACTCCCTTTTTCAAGGATGAGTTCACGCATGAGACAAAGTAAAGTTAAGAAAACAATTAATTTTATTTACCTTGGCTCCACATTTAAGCTAAAATAGTATTCTACACCAATTACAATCAGCATTCTTGCCTTTGACTCTCTAAGCAAAAACACTGAAACTTACATTTGGGAGCCACAAGGAAATTGGAAAACATTTTAGCTGGGAAATTCCACATTTACTCATCCAATCAACCAAGTGTGGTTTATTGTGCGCACATGGTTTCCGTGTTTCACTCTGACTTGTTCACAGATACTGAAACCGTTTAAAAAATGGAAATCACATACCAAAACTAGATACACAGCAGCCCAATATGAGATATGATTCACTTGTATGCGCTTATGCATTTATGTGTCTGTGCCGTCTGCATCCAAAACCCTATTTTTTTCAGTTAGCAATAGTAACTAAACTTCTTAATCAGAACCAAGTCCAGCTACATAGGTCAAAAGCACATAAAATCCCAGAAAGTGTGTCAAGAGTGAAATCGTAAAGCAGCAAGCTGGCATTATCACTCCTAGACTGTTGTGATGTCACTAGCCAGTGGATTTTGGGCACAGCAACACAATAATATTTGGCACTCCAACTTTCTGCAGCATTTTGGAAAACGGATGCTGCCAGCGCTGCCTCTGAGAAAAATATTCCCAACAGGACGTCCCATTTGTTCATTTTACAGTTCTTCCTGCTTTCCGAAACATTTTGAAAGAGACTTGGGAAGATAAGCAAGCGAATGATATCCTGCAGTGATCGATTAATAAACAGCGCCGTCCTGAGCATGTGCTTTTATAGCGTAAAAGAGCTCTGTTTTGGGGTGTAGTTCATATTTTGGGTAAAGGGAGGGTTGTTATCAGAGCCGGGGGATCCGGGAATGGACCCCCCTGACTGAAGCGAGTCCCTGAAGGGGGAAGGTGGAGTGAGCAGAGTCAGCTTACTCTGTGCTAACTCTTCCTCCACACATTCCTCTTCCTCCTCCTCTTCCTGTGTGGCACTCTCACACAGAAACCCCTGAATGAGATTGAGAGCTTCCATTTCTGAACCTTCCTCAGGGAACGCCTCCCCTTGCAGGGGAAGAGGCAGCTGATTGGCAGATGATTTATAGGCGACGGGGCTTGACTTGGTCCCTGTGCCAATTACAAATTGGTCAAAATTAGGAATCGTAGAGCTCAGTGTGTTCACGGGCCCACCTGGAGGACAATCAAGGCTGTGGTCTATTAAATTAGGAGGGGAATAGGAAGGTGGAAACCCTCTCTCGTGGGTTGTAGGATGTTGGGGACCCCCATCGTGCCCCTCGCTGAGGTTGTAGAGATCCTTGTCGTCGGGGTGAGAGCCATTGGGGGCTGTGTTGAGACCAGCATCATGTTCAGACTCGGAGGGTTGTGAGGCATTAGTTAGGGGTCGTATGACCGCCGTCTGACTCTGGCCGACTGCTTGCCTCCTCACATGCACAGACAGTCTGTGGAACACACTCGACCCCCTCCCCTGGGGTCTGGCACCTGATTCAGACCATGACACAGACTTTCCATTAGGACTATGAATGAAACAGAGACCCAACGTTATTCCCACAAAGAAACGCCAGAATGCGACACAGAGACACAGAAGAACATCAAAGAAAAATGATCATTATGTATGTCATCATTCATACAATTCATACAATTATCAGCCATAAAACTCTCATGATTAGGGTTAGCACACGATGCATAACTCAACATTGTTAATTCATGAAGTCGCTGACAGAGATCCCTCAAACATGCTAATTGTGTATCACATAATGACCCGCTTACAGAGCATTATGAAAGCCACGATGGCTCATTCTCTGCCATCCCTTCTCTGCACTGCTCTGCTCAAACTGAACGTCATGCAGTATGAATAAGGGTTTATGGAATTTCCCTCAGTTTCAGATGAACATGGCATTCGCTGTCCGCTCTTAGTGTAATTAAGTTAACCGGACAGAGAGGCCTCAGAGCTGAAAGCTGCGTCAGAATCAAGGGGCGTTCACACTGACAGTGATTTGCAGCGGCATAGCGACTGGAAATCATTTGTTTTCAACAAGAGTGGGTAGATTCTAGCAACACAATGTGGGCATGTCTGGTGATTAAATTTATTAAATTGGTGTTAAATTTATGCAAATGAGCAGCAGTGTGGCAAATAACAACAATAGTAAAGTTTTGCAAATGTTTATGTTTATGCAAATGAGCAGTAACTCGATGCAGTGACCAGTAATTACCAATGGGAGGGCAAAAGTTAAGTTTTTGCAAAAGAGCACTGACTTGATGAGGCATCTAGTAATGTGTCCAAGTTGAGAGTAGATTAATTTTATGCAAATAAGCAGTGACTCAATGCAGCGGCTACCAATAGGAGTGAAGTTTATGCAAATGAGCAGTGACTTAATGTGAAGAATATCAAGTGATCTGTCAAGTTAAGAAAAGTTTAAGTTTATGCAAATGAGCAGGTACTCATGTTATAGAATCTTTCTGGTTAGAATAAATTGCTCTGATGTCCTGGGGGTTTTGAAGCCAGATAGACTTTATTAACAAGGAAATAAAGCTGAGTTGTGTTTGCAAACATCACTTTAGAATCCAGTTGTGCACTCACATATATATGTCCTGAAGCTGTTCAACAGATTCCATACATGTCTTTCTGTATTTTTAGACAAAGAATCTTAACCATAAATGAGATCCTGAAGGGTGATCAATAACTTGTCACGCACTTATTTCTAGCTTCTGTACATAGGGACAAGGTCCTTTCCTTATATGAATGTTTTCCAAGCTTTAAATAGTTCACTCTGTTCTAAGCACACACTGCAATCCTCACACAGTCAAATACATAATAGTAAAATAATAGTAGAATAATATTCTCTTATGAATAGACATAATTCTATGTATCATATTGAATCAAGATTAATGAAAATATTCCACATGTGTCAACTACCAATGGGAGTCAAGTTTATGCAAATGTTTACATTTATGCAAGTGAGCAGCAAATCAATGTAGTAACCAGCGAATTCCAATATGAGTGAAGTTTATGCAGACATTTACTTTGATGCAAATAAGTAGCGACTTGACATGGGGAGCACCAAGGAGAGTGAAAACTGCCACAAAAGTTTACATTTATGCAAATAATCATTAACTTAGTTTGGCATCCAGTAACATGTCAAAGTTAAGAGTTGGTTATGCTTATGCAAATGGACAGCGATGAGTCTGATTCATGCAAAATCGTTCAACTTGTTTACGATGACTTGCTGTGATCTACAAACAAATATTACTTGAAAGTTATTTTAATGTTATAATGTTACTTTTTAGCAGCCAGATTCCTCATGAAAATCGTATTTTTGCCTGGAATGCATCTCATTTGTAATCAGATTTTCTAAAGACTAAAGCCCACCATCAGCATTGAGGCATCCAGTAGTAGGAACGTCAATGAGAAAATTGCTATCAGTGTGAACGAGGCAGTAGAAGGGAACTGGATATGGGAGCTACAGCCTCTGTGAGAACTGGGTTAAAATTTTAGTCAGGAGAAGGTTTGGCATGGGGGGGGGGGGGGGGGGGGGGGGG